GGGATTGCTGGCCAGGCCAGAAGAAATGGTAGCTATGTTAGGATCAGACGGGTATTAAACAAATACATATTTGAGCTACTTGGAAGGAGTGAAAGCCCTAGTTTCCCATAGCAGCATAACTGAGTGCCACTTATATCAAGTTTTCAAAATGATCTGTTCAAATGATAAAAATGATTAGTCAATTTTCTGGAATATTTGACTGAGTTATGCTTTACACAGCCTGTTTGTGCATTGCTCTTAATTGAAAATGCTGCATTTTATTGGTCTAGAGGTTATTTTCTGAGTTTGATGTCTTCATTCAGTATTTTAGGGACTATTTAGCGATAAGTTCCATATGATTGATTTTCAATCCGTTCAATCTGTGTGAGCTGGTAGATTTGAAAATCCGGTCCGGTCCTAATCCATGTTTTGACGTAAATTTCTGATTCGGTCCAACCCGACCTGCGGATTGGCCCACAACCCGCGGATTGATCCAATCCATGAAGCGCTCTACCGGCAAGCAACTGACACGCTCTCCCCTTCCCCGCCCCCGCCCAGGGTAGGAGGGGGGGGGGGGGGGGGAGAGGCGCGTGTCAGTGTCATCCGTCAGCGTGCGTCCAGACAGTGCGTTTGTTTTTCTGGCGAACGCGGGGAGCGAGCGCCTGCCCAGCGCCGGCCTGGCCAGTCAGCTGTTTATTGCCAGTGCCCGCGGGTGCTGCGGGGCCAATTGACAGGCCGGGGAGAAACGAGCCCGCAGCGTGCCGTCGTGTTCGTTGATTTGAGTTGTGTCGACGGGCGGGCGCATCAGAAAACGTTGTTTGACAGGTGGAAATCCCTTGTCAGGTTCAGGGCATAAGACGGATCGAGCCCCTGCTGGGATCTTCGAGGAGCTAGATTTGTTATGAATTGTTGATGATGCCTAGGCTGCGAGCCGGCTCAATGGTTTTCTTTTTATGGGCACATTTGTACACACATTCATTTCTATGCATTCTGAGGCTAGCATCGTCGTTGTGGAAGGAGAGGCGGTGGCTGAAGTAAGAGCCAGCACGCGTCCAATGTCTGGGAATTTCTTTGAACGCTTGGGTCCCTTGAATTTCGTTACGCTAGGCTCAGATTTTTCTTTTAACAAGTTTTGCCTAGTAAGAAATGCAAAGAATGAGCGTTTTTGGCCAGTTCAACAATGATTGATCGTTCCGTGCTGGAGATATTCCGATGGTGTTGTTTGTTCAATCAATATGACATGTAGATTTTGAGCCACATGTGTTCGACCTAAAATTAGAAGCTGTTGGGAACGCCTAAGCGTTGCCTTCAACTTTCATGTTAATCACTTTCAGGTACGTTGAAAACGTCACCTGCCAAAACGGGTAGTATGAAGTCCAATGCTTGTTTTTCGTTTACGCGTGGACTGATAATGCGCTTGCAGTTGCAACTTACTTCAAGCTAAATCAACGCATCATCTTAAGTAAAGAAAAATAAGAATAACCTCATGTTCATAAAAGAACTAATTAGTCCAGAAAGAAGCACATAAAGCGAACATTGGATTTTATGGAACGGGTCGTTTTCTTTATTCGCGAATACTGGTGAAAGCCCACGGCTGAAATATATACACTTTTTTCTGGATGCCTAATTCGTTATATTATGAGCATAACGCTATTATTATTTTCTTCTCCATGTGTCGTCATACTGCTCGTCCTACTAGCGTTATATCATATCCGTTTCCCAAGCACCAGCTTCCTCCGTGAGCAAAGTCAAATTCATATGACATCCTTTGGTGACTTTCCTTGTAGCGCTCTGCCCGACTGGAGTTTCACCTAAACATATCTGTGCATTGCAACCTTACTTGTGAAATCTGTAAAGGCTTTGAGACATCACTTTAAAGCAATTCCTATTGGATTGGATACGATCCTCAAATGGAATGACCCTCTTGGGAATTTCTGTATATCTGAGGAATTACATTCGTGTATATTGTATTACGGTTATTTTGATGCCATCATGTCAAATTTAAATGGCACGTTGAGCTTGAAAAGTATTTCAAACTATCACTTGCATTGATGGTTTGCTGTTCACCAGATGCATGTCTGTGTCTGGAATTAGAAAGTACCCCGGATCCAGGAGCATCTATCCCCACAATTAGGAAAAGGATCCTAGATTTCGAAGGATCCCGAGACAAAATTCCTGAAAATGTATATTCCAGTTCGGAGCTGTTGCTAATTGAAACCTACCATTCCATTGCTGAAGTATCGTTCGAAGCGCTGGATTGCTTTCAGTGCTGCATCTCAGAATAACAATTGTTTGAATCGTGATTTCATTTATTTGGTCCTTGGTCATGATCGTGGGGCCAGATAGGTCAAACAGGGTCAAACTCCACATTAGTGTCCAAAGTGCCCCCAGACCGCCTCATGCAACCGCCGTGAACCTCCGCACCTGTTCTAAGGAAAAGATCAATGGTGTTGGTTTAAGGTCATAACCTCGTTTGACGAGTAGAAGGTCTAGGCGACCAAAAAACCCACGAGATTGCTCCTATTTTGTCCAAGTAAGCGCCAGGGATCACTCTAGGTGGTAGGTACTTAAAATTGAAATGTTCGCCTGGGTCGTCTTAGGTCAGCGACCCGTTTTGGTCTTAGGAAGTCCACGGGACATATATGTTGCGATCCCTGTCATTAATGAATTCGAAATGAGCACCAGAGACTACCATGTACAGCAATCTCGCGAGTAAAAAGGCACGTTAATTTTGACCTCGCTCTGGCCTTTATACCATTCAATTCGCTCAGTGACCTTACAAGGTGTATCTAGTTTTTGACACCAAAGGATCTGCGCTTCAGTTGCCTGTAGCTATGCAAGGACTGACGCAGCCACGCTCGAAAACCATTCCGGGAAAACCGTAGGGGGCTCAACCTGTCCCCCACCCGAGCGATGATATGCATGTATGATAAATACCAGAGATAAATGATACGTATGATAAATATCAGAGACTTGCAGCTAATTTTGCTTTGTTCTCACGTAAACCGTCTAGGAATGCAAATGAAGGGAAACGGGATGCAGTTTTTCAAAAAGATTATTGGGGCCTGTGCCTTACTTGGCAGTAATCAGTGATGCTGAGAGGCAGAGCAAGGCGCAAAGCCACATGTGGGTAGAACTTATGTGTACAACCCATGAAAAGAGCATCTGGAAGATGAACTTAAGATCACAATAACTGATCATTTTAGCAGATGCAATGCAAAATATTTGTTGTGATGGAGTGATGCCATCATCGAGCTCTGTCGTACATGCTCTGCTCTGATGAAGATCATGTTCTAACTGAAAACCCCTCTTCTTACTGAAGATGCAAAAAATCATTCACACACATGTGGTATGCCTTAACACATGACGCCAGGTTATTTGTGCTTGCATTTCACTAAGTAAACAGCCAAACCGGGTCTGATGCAGCTTTGAGAATGATTGTAAATTACTTTGTGCTCCTTCCATCTAATACAAAAATGCCCATTCGCTAACGGAGAATGTTGCTTAAGTGCCGCGGAAGGTTAGAGCGAGCATTTACACCAATGACAAGACGCTGTTGAAATTTAAAACGCTCAAAACACAGGCATTACTTATAAAATATCAAAACTTGGTTTTGAGGTACCTGAGAACATGCAGGGGTTGAAAATTACAGTTTTCAGAGCGTTGTGAGAATTTAAGGGTGTGAAGAGTGGTCTGAGAATTTTTGAACAGGAAAATGGCGTATGACGCCTCTGACAACCCGCGATCAACGTACAACAGCACATGGTGTCGGATTTAGAACACGGTAACGTAATCCGATGGTCCCCCCCCCCACACACTATCCCCCCCCTCCCCACCACCGTGCCCCATTCCCACATGCCTCCGACCCGGATCAGAGCTCAAAAGGCGGACACACTGGCACGTGCCAGAGGCATTACGTATCGTGCGCAGTCTCTGACACGCCGCTGCGGCACCGCGCAGCATTATTGTCGATGGCCCATCGGCGGCCGAGACGGCAGCGATTGCTGATTCATCGTGTCAGAGGCTGTCCATTAATCATAACAGCCGGCTGTGTGCTGACGCGGTTGCGGTGATGCCGAACGGACGCCGTCGGTTGCGCGTCTGCTGCTCCTCGACGATCAGGACGCAGATCGCGCTCAGGACGAGCCGGGGTGGTTGAGTGGATTTTCTTCATAGGCGTCCGTAGAAAACATGATCTCGAGATCTGCACCGAAATTCTGAATTTAGAAATCGAATCCAAAAACCAGCATTGTCACGCATTTCTTAAAGGATTCGTCATGGAAACTTTCATTGCAGAGTCTATGACATTTGGCTAACTGAATCCTCATGGTTCTCTGCGCCAGTGCAAACGTTGTCGAAAGACCTCCCTTTGCTTACACAGATACATTTGTTTTCTGTATAGCCAAGTGTTTATCGTAATCAGCCGGATGAGCGGTAATGGTTTTCAGGCAGCTGTGGCGGTTTCTGGGGCCCGGTAGGGCGCTCGGAGTAGCACAAACGTACGATGGAACCGTGCGATCCCGGACTTGGCGAGCTTTCCTTTAAAATGTGGAGGATTTGTTGTTATAAAAGGAGTTGTATCAGTTGTATCATCGAATGCTAGGCTAAGTTTGTGTGTATTGCGGCATCACATGCCTTCATGCATGCACGTGACAGGCTGCGATGGCCGCTTCGTTATGGCGTACCTCATTACTTCACTTTCGTGTTCCAAAGACTGGAACAACCTGGCGGGACCTGAGCTTTATTTGACAACAGATCATCAGTTCATGAGAATCCCGGCTTGTTGAAAGTTGTTGTTAATGAGACGTCGCTTCCTAAGGCTTGAGCGAAAAACTTGTCCTATAAATCAACATGTCGTCGTTGAACCCTTGGCATGCATTATACACATTGATCAAACCGTATCGATTTTGCTTGTGGCAAACTACAATAACTCCAATCAATGCATTAGCTTTCGGCCCATAATTGGCGATTAAGGCAAGCAACTTTCAAGGTTTGGCTGAATCCTCTTGTGCCGTGTCACTGCGAATGGACAGAGGTTTGCTTAAAGATCACAGCATATGGAGTGAATGGGACTTGTCACAATATCATGATGCCGGTAGGATTATACCGCATGCACTTGCCTTGAGTGTTGGCTTTCAGTGCGGATGAGATCTCAGAATGTTTCTTGTTGGCGCTGTTTTTGGATTTTTAACAAGGAAATTAACGAACATTTTCAAACATTTCCGGTCTGACTTAGTTTCACACGAGGGATAAACAGCTTACAGCTGCAAATGTTTCATTCGGGTCGAGTTACTTGACCCAAAGCAATGTGTGGCGTGACGTACACACACCTGCATGGTGGCCGACACAGCAGGGCGCAACATCTGACATGCACAGCCACCGCCGGAGTTCCCTTGAGGATTATGGGGGTTAGGTCCCCACCGATTTCACGACTTTGGTAATGGCGCGCGACGCACTCGACCGCTGAGTTCCCATCCCCGCCTGTCCAAATCTCCGCTACCGCCATATAACCTTCATGTTGCATTGGCCACGCTAACTTGAAGGGCCGTTTCCGTGCCACTTGGCAACACATGTATTTGCGTCAAAGTACCCACGCAAATAATCAAATCACAAACTCGTGCAGCGAGAACCAGACTGCACACGATGCTCGCATCGTTCTCCTCACATGAAACAAGACGTCATATTACGCGATATGGCACATGAGCATGACGTTCTGCGACGCATGTAATCAACTGGTGAACGCTCAACGTGACTCTACACTCGTAACCTAGTTCACATCGATTCCTCTGCACCCACGTGCGGTTCTTAACCCACGAATGAACGAATAAACCGAAGTCTGCTCGGCACATCGGAACAGCACGCGCGAGCAACAATGACACATATCACAGTTGACAAAGCCAGGACCCCATCTCACGCAGCAACTCAACGGAGCACCTACACTTGAGAACACGGCGATCACGGCGCTCACCTCCGACAGCTGGCCAGCGAGCGATGCTGGACTTTTGATGCGCAACACATTGTACTCAGCCATCACAGGACATGACGAACACGCTGCCCCATACGATTGACTTTGGACGTTCGGCCCGAACACGAGCTTGTAAGTACGCGACTACGACAGGCGGCCCCGCCAAATCATCTCGAAGAAGCAAATCACGGTGGTGGCACGATTCGGGGTCAAAACGAGCCGTAGCCTGCTCCTCAGATCCAGATTTGGCGCTGGTGTCGGCTCCGCTCTCTAAGTCAAGCCTGCATCCGCCTGCAAGCCCTGCCCCTCGCCGGCCGAACAGCAGCCTCGCTTCGCGGTGACCTCTGACCTCTGACCTCCAGCGACCCAACCTGACCTCGCAGTGACCTCTGGTCGGTACCCCTCCATGCTGACCCCACTAGGAGCCACCAGTGCAAGGCACCCAGCTGTGCGGCTCGCACATGTCTGCGCAGCTTTTGAACTGAGGCAAAACTGACGACTCCCGACGACTGTCGACCATCACCTCCCCTGGCCGATCCCACCCAGTTCGGAGCGGAGAGGCACGCGCGGAGCACCTGATCGAAATGGCACGAGTACCGCCGGCATTTACTGCGCTGATCACGGACCAGGGCCGCTGGTCGCTACCCCGGCAGCTGGGACCAGGGGCGTATTCAAGGTGGGCACTAATGGTGTCGCACCAACTACCACTATTATCAAATATGTAATGCATTGATATGCATGTGGGGAAATGTCTACGATTAAATAGTCAGGGTAGACGAGTAAAAACAAGTAGATTGCAATAATGCGACGATGTCATATGCCATGCGAGACTTTTTGCGTACCTCAAACGCTCTAAAACGGACTTTTCAGTGAACAGTTTTTAGTTCTGACCCCCTTCCCCATTGAGAAATCCTGGATACGCCCCTAGCTGGGATGGTGGCCTCTGCGAACGCCGCTATGCCGCGTCGCGGCCAGTCCGTGCCTCGTGCCCGGTTGTTTCTGGCCGTATCCGTTACAGCCCTGCCCTAGCGCCACGTGGCTTCGTGCCTCCCCCAGCTGGACACGACTCCACGACGCTTCGTCCTCGCTTTAGGCGTGAGCACGCCTGGAGCGCGAGCGCGTGCGGAGCAGCCGGACGTGAGCACGTGCGGAGCAGCCGGACGCGACCACGCACGGAGCAGCCGGACGCGGACACGTGCAGAGCAGCCGGACGTGAGCACGTGCCGAGCAACCGGGCGCGAGCACGCACGGAGCAGCCGGACGCGGACACCTATGCAGCAGCCGGACGCGGACACGTAAGCGCCAGCCGGATGCGGACACGCACGCAGCAGCCGGAAGCGGACACGTGCGCAGCAACTGGACGGAAGACATCAGCTGCAGGTCTTCCTGGCGGGAGATGTCGGCTTGGATGTTCGTCTGAGGAATCGCACGATCGTTAGGCAATCCGACAAATGGCCCGACGCGAAGAATGTTGGAGCTTAGGAGGCAGCTACTCAGGCGCCCAGAACAATCTGTTATCGGTAGTTGAGCAATTCAAGGAGCACCACTGGAAGCAGGACCGCTAGCAAAATGACACTGCACTGGCAATGGGTCAAAATGCGGAGGCTAGGACCTGCTGCTGCTTGGACGACGCTCTCCAGAGAACACTGCTGGGACATTGGTTCCTTGCATCGGAGCAGCGTGCGACCTCTTACCTGACCACGGGTGTCTCCAGTAGGTCTCCACGGAGATGGCCGTGACACAGGAGCGCCAACTGATCTCAGCTGTGTGCCAGCCGACGTCTGCCGCCAGTCAGCTGATGTCTGCCGCCAGTCAGCTGATACCCGCCGCCAGTCAGCTTGCTGATGTCTGCTGCCAGTCAGCTGATGCCTGCCTCCAGCCAGGTGATGTCTGCCGCCAGTCAGCTGATACCCGCCGCCAGTCAGCTGGCTGATGTCTGCCGCCAGTCAGCTGATACCGTGGCGAATGGGACCGCCGCAGTTGAACCCCTGCGAACGGTGATGGGTCCGCTCGTATCCGGCAGCCGACATTCTTACGACTCGTTATTATAGACAGAATTCTACTATATCCATTGCAATGCGCCTGCAAAGCTTCTGCTCCGACATGGATGAATGATGGATAAGTATGCTAACGGTACTGGTACTTCGCCTAACTGCTTATTTTAAAGCCAACACTCCTTGGCAGAAAAATGGCCACGGAAGTAGAAAACAGCTGGCTGAATGAGACAAACGCAGGAATCAAGAGATACAGCAAATGTTAACGCATGTGACTAAAACGAATTGTCCATTGGGGAAATCTCCTAAACAAAGTACTCCTGCTGCGCATTGAGACTCGAACCTACGACCTTTCGTTTGCGAGACTGGTGCTTCACGAGTTGGCTGTCGCGTCCATGACATTCCCATCTAGTATTGAGCTGGTAAGTTTACGCCTGGGTTGACAGCAACGACAGCAGCACAATCACCAGTGAGAGCTCGCAAACAATCAGCCATGCTGTGATGTCTCCACCGGGTTATGACTACGTCTTTGTTATGTCTGCCGGGCAGTTGCGCTATTCCAAAAGTACCCATGCTTCTCTGTTCGCAGAATATGCTGTGAAGCGCTTACAAGAAGAGACATGTAAAAAAGCAGAAACGCGCAAGGACTGGGATTTTGACGCCAGTCAGTCTCTGCAATAGCTGCTGGACACAATGCTCCCTACGTAATCAGATAAGCCCCTTCGTTGTAAAAACCACAAAATGCGACACAGGTAGGTGTTTTGGACAGGCGCCCCGTGACACCGGACAAAGTTGGTGTCGTTAAGCCTCTGATAGTGATGTACGGCCTTACATCGAGGTGACAGTGGTGGCGCTATCGCGCGCCGATCTTGCCAAGTAATTGGCAGGATTAATTTCCTGCAGCATCGTGCCGTGGAAGGGTGTTAAGCTGAGAAACCACCCGGCCAGCTCTGTCGGGCGGTGTCGGTCGGCCGGCCGGCGGTCCACGGGAGAGAGACGGCCGCTCACCTCAGTGGGCAGGAGCGCCCGACCGGAAGTCAGGTCAGAGGTCGGCCTGCCGGGCCGGAGGTCACGCCCTCACACGGGCGACACGTACTCGGCCGGCGGGACGGAGCCGGAACTACCGCTGAAACGGGAGACGAGACTAGTAAACGGAAATACAAGACTGGTGAACGGAAAGGTACGGCTGAGGAACGGAGGGATGCGCCTGGGCAGCGGAGAGCCGCGACTGGTGAACGGAGGGCCACGGCTAAAGAACTGAGAGACTGCTGAACGGAGAGAAGACTGGGAAAGTATTATTGGTTGACGGAAAAACAGCCGCTGATCGAGGTGAGAGGAGTGGTGAACGGAGAGAAGAGGCCGCTGGTGAAATAACGGTTAGAGAAATGACGTGTGAATCCGTTCCTTCGTTACCAACATTCGCTGAGAGCTGACCGGGAGCTCTTTGTCGCGCTGCACCTCTATACTAACCCACCCTGCCAAGATCTACGGATCCAAACCGCCGAAACGAGCCGCGAGCAGCCTTCAGCAGCGTGAAGCATCCGTCGGTCATTACGCGCAGCGTGCACGGCGGCCGATTTTTAACTGCGGTTACGTTGAATAATGCCACCTGTCGCGCTCTCGTCGCGGCCGCGTCTGACAAGCTCTCGCGTGGCTGCAGTCGGCCGCCCTGCGAGCCTGCCATCAATCTCGGCGGCACCGCGCGGCGTCTCGAGCGGCGCCTGGCGCGGAGCCTCGCCCGGCCGCCGTCGGACACCAGGCCACCAAATGTTGCCGTGCAGCGGCGGGACTGGGGCGCGACCGGCGCTGTCCCGGGGCAAGGGCGCGGGAAGGACGCTGAGGCGTGGGGTAAAACAAACAGCCCTGGTGCTCTCGGCAAAACCGGGTAACAGGAAAAAGCCGAATTCTGAGATACAACACAGACCATGTGGCGTGACGCTGGTCAGCTGGCGTTTTTCAAGTAACCATTTGGGGTCAACTAGTTTAGAGAAATCAGATTAATTCATGGCAGTTTTAATCGATGAATTTTATGCACACGGTATAAAGTGGTTTCATTTACATGCGATTTGATCCCGGAATGCTGCACCTATGCCACCTGACCATGTGGGCTGACGTTCTGTTTACATCCGTCTTTTGCCAGCTGACGTATCTTGGATAGCCGTTCTGGTGATAATTAGCATACAGAAAATGACATAAATCTAAGACAGCTGAAAATGTCAGAATGTATGCCTACAGAGTGCAGCATGATGCGATGTTTATCAGAAATGAACTTGAAGTTGCGGCTGCGATGTTAGTTGAGCGTGTCAGCTGACGTTTTGTTTACATTTATGGCACGGCCGCTTCTGGGCATCTCCGGAATGGAGGACCAAGCATCAGCTGGCGCGGAATTGTTTTGATCCAGGCTGTCGGCGTCACCCCGTGCGGAACGTAAGTTACGCTCAAAGACATTTTTCTCATCGAATTTCGGCAGCTTTGCTAACAGATCTCAAAGACGCTCGTCAATTTCTGCATGCCTTTTAAAGTATGTGTTTGTTTACCGTCAAGAGCAAAAAAACTTTACGGAGCACTCATGTACCATGAGCTCACTAGCTAACATATCTGAGGCCCTACACGCCGAGCGCACACGGTCCACGGTCCATTGTCATGGAATGTCCCTGTAGCGATACGAGCCACAGTTCGTCTAATACATCGTGAGTCTTGGGCCGTGTCTGCACTGGCCTCTAGCGCGGCCTGCGGTGTGTACCACGTGTTCCGCACTCAGCCGCATTGACGTCTTTACCGCAGTTTGCAGAGTGAACGACACTCACTCGCGTAGAAAAAATAGCGGGCTTTTCGGGCCTTTCCACACACCTTTCGGGAAAGCTTAGTGTTAAACCTGTGGTGATACATGGGAAGAATTGGCTTCGGAGAGGTGCTGGCCCACCCTCCACTGACGCGTCCCTGCGCTCCTGCTGTCCCGGATCACTGCAAGTGCAGTTTCTCCGGCGGCGTCAGAAACGTCGCATGTCCGCGCAAATCTCAAGTTAATACGCCAACCTTGGACGGACATTACACGGCGCGGAGGGGGCTAATCCCACTTGCAGGAATCGCACGCGTGCTCGGAGCGCGGGCTCCCGTCCACTGGCGGCCCGCGTTGTCCTCAGCGCGGGGTCATGCGCCGCGCTGACCACAAAGCTCTTGGTGCGGACCCCCAACAGCGCTTCAAGTGGTCGGCAGCCCGGGCCAGTGCAATCAATCGCCTTTAATCCCGCAACACGCTCGTCAGTTATCTGATGGGCGCCCGGTTTGTATTGGCAGGGATGCCTGCGGCGCCCGTAACATGCAGCGCGCTAGCGACGATTGGCCCCTGCAGTGTAAACAATAACACGCTTATGGCTAAACTGATAAGAAGCAAGCGGACATCTCTGGCAAACATTCCCACACTCGGCCCTGCCGGCCGTCGGGCTTATGCTCACGAAGATAACACGCCGACGTAACTGGCCTTATGTGAAGCACATTCTGCGATCGCTCCCACAGCTCATCGTTGGCATGTTCGTTTCACGAAGAAGTGCAAATCGCGAGCGTTAGCTCAGTGATGAACTGCCTGCAGTGCACACTAGCTAGTTTTATACAGGTTGCAATGCACCTGTGTCGTGGGAATGGACCAAATAAGATCGGTTGAATTCTCAACGTCCCGAAGCGATGCACGGCTCAAACGCAGCCTTCAGCTGGTTCTAGTTAATCACAGCCTTCCCACAAACCGGACGTCTCCTACACCCATGAGCCAAGCCGCAGCCCACGGCCCGCCGCGTCGCGCCCCGCGAGCCCTGGACGTGTGCAGCGCGGCGCGCCGCCGTCGCGCCGCTCGACTGGCCGTGCCGCCGTCCCGCCGCCTGCACCGCGACGCGCCCGCTAATGCAGCCACTCAACATTGCACACCATCGCTGCAATAAATCCTGCTCATTTGCAGCTGGAGACACGCGGCGACGCTCGCCGGCCGGCGTGACGTCATCCGTGGGACAGCGGATCACAGACGACGGACGCGAGCCGCAGCCGAGCTGACGCGGGACAACAGCTACGGGGCACGTCCTCTGGAGAACCCAAGGAGAGCAGCGGGCCGCGGGCCGCCAGAGCTAGCCTCCCCAGCACGGCCAGCGTTCTGTTGTGTTTCATTAGGCTTGGTGTTTTGAGGAGCAATGGCCGCAGAGCTTGCAGCCTACCCCTCCGGGGTTCGTGCTGGATCTGCCCTTGCAGACATTCATGCTCCAGGCGTTCGTTGCCACGCGACATCCATAAGCGCAACGTCCAGTTCTATAAGGGTGGAGCATGGTGTCCGTTCCCTTCGGTGACGGAGTCCACGGGTCCCTGCTCATCGTTCCCGCGCCGGCTGCGTCCCAAATTTCAGCTCGAAGTGGCGAGTGCTGGCAATACGCCGAACGCTTGCTCTATAACGTCGTTTAACCACTACTTCACGGTATGTTGAAAGTCAATAACTTGCCATAACAACGATGACTGACAAAGAATTGGGAGCTACAGAGACGAGAGGGGGATGGCTGACCTGCGATGGCGTCTCACGAGGGCTGAGGAATCAGCGCGCCGCCAGGGGGCATCTGTTGTGAGGGGTCAGCGGGGTCACCACGCAAATCGGCGGAATATCGCGTATTACGGATGAGCGTGATGTAGCACGCTGTGACCATGTCATTTTCTCGTTACGAAATGCAGCCGACGATGTGCGATATGGACATCGTCAGCACGCATGCCAGCGACGCCGCGACGCCCACTTGCGATAGTCGCGATATCACGCTTGCGACGCACCTAAGGACTCCAGGGAGCCGTGCAGAGCTTGAACGTCTTGGGAGCAGGGCCGTGGACTGGGCCGTGACCGGCGGCGGTCGTGCGGGACTGCATGGAATAAACCCCCCCCTCCCTCCCCCCTCACCTGACGACTGATGGAATGAGCGGAACGACGCGGCAGTGCGTGTGACAGCGCCGTGGAGCAGCCGATGGGCCAGTCAGACCTCTACACAGACCCGGGCGTCATGAACGGCACCTGAAGCTTAGGCTAGTTGGAGCTAGGTGCTGCGATTCGAGCGGTAGCCTATGTACCGATCCCTTCGGCCTGTGATGCATGCATCATGCTGTTCTGCTTTTCCAGTGCAGTCGTGCCACGGCTTTATGAGATGTGATGATGACGATGATGACCATGTAACTGCCAGCAGGGGAGATTTAGACTCGCTGTGTAAGGCAATACGTCTCTAGCTGGCAAACCATCCAAGTAACTTTAAAACACCAGATAGAACTGTGCAGTGGACAGCAGGAGTCAGGAAGAGCTGCTGTCACACAGATTAACAAAAAGTGAAGAATTACGCGTAGGGCATTACATGGAAAACCACACCAATCAAAATGCAGGGGACGGTGCAGATTCTGGTTCAGCAATCACTTCACATGCTGCAGAGAATTGTTGTGCTGAATTCCATGCCTGTTTTTGGAAAATTTGGTTTCGGACCGCTCCTACGGAATTGTGATCCTTCTTAAGGTGATCCTGCAGATGATCCTGCTCAATACACATTATTTCACATATTACGTCTCTGTGGCTTGTTTAGACCGGCACTGATTTCACATGCTACGTCTCTGTGGCTTGCTTAAACTGGCATTGCATGATACACCCAGCAATGACAAGACGAGCTCATTGCATGATATTTGCTTGGGAGGGAGCCACAAAATTTCCGACAATACCTACCCTTTGTATGGGGCGGCGTATGAGGTCATCTCCACAGGCATCTGTTGTCGCGCCGCCTGCTGACTCTGCTGCACGTGCTGCTGCTGCTGCTGCTGGTGCTGCTGAAGGTGGTGCTGCTGCTGGGCCGACAGCTGCGTCTGGTACACGTCCGGGCGCCGCTCCAGCGTCGACGGACGGGTCGAGCCCAGCGACGAGCCCGGGTAGGGACCGCCGTAGCCCATGGCGCTGCTGTTGAGGTGCGCCAGCTTGCTCAGCGAGCTCATCTGGCCGAGCTTGAGGCTGGGCGGCGTCTGCGGCGGCGTGTCGGTCGGCGCGTCGCTGTACGAGCCGCCGGCGGCCGGCAGGCTGGGCGGCGGCGGCGCTACCATGCTGCCGTAGCCGCCGCCGCCGGCCGCCGCGCTGGCGTAGCCTCCGCCTCCGCCTCCGCCTCCGCCGCCGCCGCCTGAGCTGTGGTGGTAGGCGGCCGAGGCGGCGGCGACTGGCGAGGCCTGCGCCTGCGCCTGCGCCTGGTGCGAGTAGCGGGAGAAGGGTGCGGCGCCGGGCGCGATGGTGGGCGGCAGCGGGAAGGTGGTGGCTGCGGTGTGCGCCGGCAGCCGCTCGGCCGGCCAGCCGTGCCCCGGCGGCGGCGGCGTCTTGCAGACGGCCGTATCGGCCAGCGACCAGATCTTGGGCTTCTGCGGGTCGCTGCAGTCGTCGAGCGGCTTGTCCTTCCAGTCGCCGCCCGGCGAGAGCGTCTCCGACTTGACCTCGGCCCGGGCCAGCGGCGACAAGCCTTCGCTCGCGGCGTTGCTCAGCGGCGACTCTGCGACAGACGGCGTCGCGTGAGGTCACCGGGCGTACGGTAAGTTCGGTCATTACGGTCCAACGACTGGCTAAACAACCTAAAAGGATGAACAAAGCGCAGGCACGTTAGTGAAGTATGAATTCTAAGGAGTGCGAATATTGTGGGCATTAACGTCCTGCTGATAGACGCGTCCTGCTTTACCAAGATTTGCTTGCTCTTGAGAATGGGACACAGAACCTCAAAAGAATACCACCGCATGAAACTGCGACCTGCAGATCAATGAGAAGCAAGAGATGCATACCATTAATTTCTTATAAGTCATGCAAGTTATTATGACACTGAGTCAAGCGGCCAATGGGGTTTACCTTTCTCGCCATCTTCTTTCTCCCCCTCGCTCTTGTCCTTGCCATCCGCCTTTCCCTCCTCGTCGTCCGACTCTCCCTTGTTCTTCGGCTCCCACGTCATCTTGTTCTCCTTCTTCAGTCTTCGCCGGGCGTTGGCAAACCAGGTGGAGATCTGCGTCAGCGTCATCTTGGTGATGATGGCCAGCATGATCTTCTCGCCCTTGGTCGGGTACGGGTTCTTCTTGTGCTCGTTCATCCACGCCTTCAGCGTGCCCGTGGACTCGCGAGTGGCATTCTTCCTCCTCGCAGCCAGGTCGTAGGGTGCACCATACCTGCGGCAAAATATAACGTTATGGGGATGCTGATTCTCATGCTCTGCAATACGGCCACGTTATCAGGTTTACCATGATTGCCGCTCCCGGCTAAGGGCTTGTTATGTCAGCACTTCTGTTGCTTTTTACTTACTCCACTCAGTCCTGTCTTCTCACGCCCAGCGGGACGTGTTATCGAAACGCCTCTCCCAGACACCCAATCCTGCCCTTTGACTGAAGTCTGGTGGGGTGTAGATCAGCATACGGCTGCTGCCCACCCTTCCCAGCCACCCAGTCCAGCCCTCTGACTGAAGCCCGGTGGGGTGTGGATCAGCATACGGCTGCTGCCCACCCCTCCCAGTCAGCTCAGTCCAGTCCTCTGACTGAAGCCTGGTGGGGTGTAGATCGGCACACGCCTGCTGTCCACCCCTTCCAGCCACCCAGTCCTGCCCTCTGACTGAAGCCCGGTGGAGTGTAGATCAGCACACACCTGCTGTCCACCCTTTCCAGCCACCCAGTCCTGCCCTCTGACTGAAGCCCGGTGGAGTGTAGATCAGCGCACGCCTGCTGCCCACCCCTTCCAGCCGTTCGTCACCGCCGGCTTATCTGGCCGACGGAGGTCCCGCTGCTTGGTTTATGCACGCGCCAGCCGGGGCCGACATATCGCGTGAGATCAGGCTCAATTATGGGCCGTAAATCTGACCCGTCCCGTCGGGACAACAAGCCGGCGTGCACTCCAGGTCCGCCCAGCTATGCGGGGACAGATACGTGCCGGCTTCGGCTGGAGCGGCGCCGCTCACCGGAGCGGGGTCAGACGTCTGACCAGCGCCAGAATGCCAGGCTCGCCAGCGGCCGGACCGGCGACTCGCGCCCGGTAACATGTGACGAGCTCCGTGCCAGGGTTCGGCGACGGCGGGAGCCGCGGCCGCGCTGGCCGGCCCCAAAACCGCGAGGCGTGGCGTACACTAGTCCCCGATGGCGTACACTAGTCCCCGATGGCGTACACTAGTCCCCGATGGAGTACGCTAGTCCCCGATGGCGTACGCTAGTCCCCGATGGCGTACACTAGTCCCCGATGGAGTTCCCGGCTCGTCGGACGTTGACGTTGGAGGGAACTAAGGACGTAGGATTGCTGTGAACAGAGTATTCTAGCGGGTATTTGCCATTCCATACCGTCTTTATTTAGATAAAGGGGTCATCAAAATTGGACATGCCGTAAAGCAGTAGCATCAAAAACTTTGAATGGTGTGATGCATTTTAGCAACGTCCTACGGGCAGTTATTGTTTACGACCGCGTGTATGTTCGTTAAGTTTAGAGCAAGCCTGTCTACACACCCTTAAGCGCAGCCGGAAGTACGCATGCTTACTTCGAAAAATGCATACAAAACCTAGATTCTCCTCAGTCGTGAACCAATGCTTGCGCTCAGCCTAAATCTATAACACATCCTCAACCACGCCTTTGGAAATGGAAAGCAGCTGCGCGGAGTAGTTTTACGGAGAGATTATGCAAGACCCTGCACGGCGGTGACTTGCGGTGACGGCGGTGATTGATTGACTAAGTATGCAAAGCAACCAACAAACAGAACTCATTCAAACATGCATCTTTTATATAAGAAGGTTAAAAGCACTTAGCATATTGTAGCATTACGATTCATTCTACCCTTCAAATATGTGTTCTGATCTATCTTGTTCCGGTCGCACTCGAAGGAGCGAAACCTGTTCTCGCTCTCATAAATCATCGGCATCCCCGACGCACGAAAACCCCGACAGCTGTGTCGTTCCGGCGGACATAAGTTGGATTTTATTAGTTCTATTAGGCTGACGGTTGGCGCCTGGCTGGCGGGGGCGACCGGCGAAAAAGCGATCCGTCCAGTCCACTCAGGGGCGGGGTAAAAACTGGCTGGAGCGGACGGACGACGCTGGACACGGCCGGACCGGGGTCGGCTGAAGAGGCGGCGGCGCTGAGAGGGGGCGCCCGGCCGGCCGCTGAGCCGACGCCCACCGGTGACCGCCCACTGGCGACTGCAGAGGCGGGTCCAGCATCCAACCTGATGGAGTGACAATTTTCGCCAGCATCCATTCAATTTCCAGTCTGTTCGCTAGACGATACGGCTTTGATTGAAAATGAATTAAAATATAAGTGATTCTTTTTTTGGAGTCTAGTAATTCGGGTCGGGTGGGGTCGGGTCGACCTGACCATCTGTTCCCAACTGCAGCTGACTCGAAGCTGTGAATCGCAGGCGTTCGGGGGCGTTGAGGCGAAGCGCCGTAGGTGCCGCATGTACGGGCTTTACGTCAACCGCTGTGACGCAAAGGAGGGGCAGCGATCTTTTCCTCTCCTCACAACCTGTTAGAATCTAGCAGATTTTGTCTTCACAGCCTTTTCGCCGTGTCAGGCTCTGGCTAACCAGCGGTGTGACGTCAGTGAAATGGTGAGCCAGTGACGTCATATTCAGCCGTGACTCGAGCGTGAGCCCGCTCGGGGTCGCTCGGCACATTCGACAGGTCCATAAAACAGGTGAGCTGCTAATTGGTCTCGCGGTGTTAAAGATCTGCACGACTATTTTTCCAAGGCGGCATTGCTAATAAAGTATGCAAGATAGAGCCGTTCTGCGCTAATTAGTACCTATTAGATGGGTCTGACAAGTTGGAGAGCTCACGACTCCTGACATTTTTAGGCGATCGGCTTAGAAGAATCGGACATCGAGAATAAGCGATCAGAATCATTGAATGATCTGGTCCGAGCCAGACTTGCTCCACGGGGCAGTTGGACAGATTATCTAGGCAAAAACATTTCCATGAACTTGGTCAGCTCCAACCACTGCACGCACTTAATAGACCAACTTATTTGTATCTCAATCAGTATATTCTCACTTATTCCCCATTAAGTTTATTTCTATGGCCTCCCTCGAGCTCCTTGATCACGCAAGTGCGAGAGGAATAAGGACGGTTGAATCAGCCATGGTTACAAGTTCCTCTGTAGGGCAGGGAACGGGGGCGAAGCAGTCCCCACAGCTTTGCGGAAGTTGATGTAACGTCTACAGGAGTTGCACGCAAAGAAACGCCTCAGAAAGCCTTGATATCCCTCTCACCACACCTGAGCCATGGCGCAGCTCCTTCCCACAATTCACCCACTTATGTGAAAGCTGAGCATTTGTCCCACGGGCGATGCATGAGGAGAATGGCTTTTACGCAAGACAGCATCCTAATTCCAGTCCAAGTGAGCCGGCTATACCACAACCTTAGCTGCATCCCACAACGGAACCGTCCTGCAGGCGCTCAAGGCCACCACAGCCAGCGGCGGTATGTCCGTCGTTCCGAATCTGTCGCCCCATCCCGTGTGCCCGCTGTATGTTCCTGTCGCCCCATCTTGCATCCCCGCAGTACACCCCTGTCGCCCCATCTTATATGTCCGCTGTATGTCCCTGTTGCCCCATCTTGCATTCCCGCAGCTTCAGTCAGCGCAACACGTCAGTCAATTTAGTAAACGTTTGCTCACTTCCTCAGTCACTTCCACATCGATTTTCTGCGGTCTCAAAAGCTTAGCCGAGGACTCAAAACTAATGCACTTCGCGGTCGGCCTCCGTTTTACAGCCGCCTCAAGCAGCAGGCATGCGTCCGCAGATAGCCGGGAGGACAGCGCTCAGCGGCTTATTATTTACGTTCTGTCCAGTACCAGCTCTCGAGTAACCCAGTCCTTTAATCCCATATGCCCTGAGACCCAGTTCCCGATTCCTTATCCTCCTAATGTGCGGGTCCTAACCTCCGGTCTCTAATCCCTCAGTCTCCCAGTTTCTTAGTCCTCAGTCTCCCAGCCCGCAGTCCCTAATGTTTAGTGCCTAGTCCCTAGTCCTTAGTCCCTAGTGCCTAGTCCACAG